ACATCCCTTTTCTACCACAGCTCGGTGCATACAGAGTTAGCTGATCATACTTTGAAGATACTGTGAGATTGCAATGAAGCGCCTTGTTGCCTTAAACATCACCCTGTAGGTGAATTCAGCAACATCTGCTTCATGTACCAGGTGACAGACAGGGGGACTCTTGGGGCTTGTTAAGGAAAGTGGAGTCCTACATCAGAGAGTGCTACTTGGGAAATATTTAATATGAGTTATTTCCACACAAAATTAAACCAGTCAATAAATGTTCTGCCCAACCACTGAGAAGAAACCTTGAGGATGCCAAGGGGCATCCTCCCAACAGTACCAGCCTTGTTCCCATTAAACTGTGAAGATGGTTCTTTTGCTCTCTTCTGTCGTTTCTCTTCACATTTAGCTAGCTGGTATTCCAAGAATCAAAGCAGAATCAAGCCTGTTCGAGAAAAAAGCAACAATGCTCCTATAGCTCTCCCTGCCAACCCACTCCACATAACTAGAAAGGGTTTTGCAAGAGGCCTGTAGATTCTAAAATAAAGAGCCCAAGCTGAGTTCTGTGGGTAGATATTGGGAAGTTGCAAGAAAGTAGACTTCTAGCCTGCAGCTTCTTCCATCAGGATTCGAGTTATATTAGGACACACTGCTGTCAACTGAAAGGAAAAGGTAACTGGGTGCCTTGGTGGGAGAAAATCTATAGAAACAGGAAATGGCAGCATGACTTGGTGCATTTGATCCCCAACTAGTGTGTACCACAATGTAATCTTCCCTTGATTCTAGATAGGTCAGGCCAAGCTTCCCAAATGGCTATTTCCTGTCTATACTATCAATTCCTTGTTAATATAAGGTCTGAACAATAGGCTCATGCAGAGGATGTGAAAGGAATTTGCAAGCAGACTCTGTGCATTAGGAGAGTATTGGAAGGAAGAACAGTGACTGGTGTCTTTCACCTTTTACTCAGATTTGGAAGAAAAAACAATGCTGTTCTCAATGTAGAGCTGGAGGTTTACATCCAAGCCAATTCTAGCATCCTCGGGTACAGTACATTGCGCAAATTAATGAAATACTGCATTTGGATTTTATTTTGTTTGGACCAGATGATTACCCTTTATTTCATTGTGAGATTGTTTACTTGTACACGGGAGTAAAAAGACCAGCATATATTTCACCATCAATAGCTTTAGCAGCATTCCTCATTTGTCTCTGTGTGTTTGTGTGCAAAATGTGCTTTTTGTGGAGAACGCTTGTGGAGAATGCTTGAGTTAATAGTTTGTCTTTTACACAAATGTCAAGGTTTTTATATCCAAAATACAAGTTTTAAAACAAATATATATATAGTGTTTGGCACAAAAACAACTTCCTCTATTTTCCCCCTCAAAATGTGCTGAAATTCTCATGATCTTCTCTGCTAGAGCTAAAACTTCTGAAAATTTTCACTTTCAATTGCAATGATAATATAAGTAAAATTTTATTATCCTACAAGCAAGCAGTATAGTTTAATCTGGTCTATAGTCACGTTCTAGAATAAGCAGACAGGAGACAGATGCTAGGAGTGTGAAGAAATCACACTGAAGTACTTGTTCTTGCTGAGAGGGACTTAACCCATGGATACATACTATGACGCGTTCATTAATCCTCACGAGATTTATCATTCCAGCCCAAGAATGATACACCTTTTTCACCAAAGATTCTGTAATTTGCATAAAATTTATTTCTCCTCCTCCTATGAATCAAACCCCTCTCTCTTGCACTTTCTTACATATCCACATACACAGAAGCCTTTTGGTACAGTAGTTAAACTGAAATACTGCAGTGGAGACTCTGCTCATAACCTGGGCTCAGATATCTAGCATGATCCTGGGCTCAGGCAGCCGGTTCATGGTGGACTCAAACTTCTATCCTTCCAAGGCTGGTAAATTTAGTACCTAGCTGGCTGGAGGGGGTGGGCAATGTGAAGCCTGCATAAGTAAATTGTAAATCACCCGGACAGTGCTTTAAGTGCTATGGGGCAGTATATAAGCAGCACACTTTGTTTTGTTTTGCTTTGCTTTACTATCAAGCAGAAAAGCCTCATTGGTCTAAAAGACACAAACAACCCATTTGATGCTTTCATTTTTGAAAAGGTCTATAGTAAGGCAGCAGCTACTGTCATTTAGCTTTGCATCATTTATACCACCCAAAGTTTTCAGTTTTGGGGTTCTGTGGAACTGAATTAAGCAAGGATGAATAACCGCAATTTCTGCCTCCTCGGTGGATGAGAGGCTTTTAATTTTTTTATGATTGTATCCCCTTGATAGTTTACATACTTCCACTAGGTGAGAAAAAAACACAATAGCTGCTGTTTTGTTTAACAGACTGTTCGAAATACAAAGCAGTGGATGAGTTCTTCACATTTTTTTTTAAAAAATCAGTCCTTCCTGTGCAATTGTGCATTTGCACATGTGGTGCTTTTCTTTTCTAAGGAAATGGATTCTAATTTTGCATAAACTGTTTCGCAGACATTTTGAACAAACTGCTGAAAACTTCTGGAGGGAGGAAAAATCCACTCATCTCACTTTCCTCTGCCAGACATAACACCTTTCATGGGGTTTCAACATTCCTCAACTATGTGTCCCATTGTGTCTAGACAGCCATATGAGGATGAGAAATTTAGCGATCATCCTTCCCATATCTACATCAAACATTACAGGCTTTGGAGGTATTTTCCTCTCCTGGAACAGTATTGCTTGGCCTCATTATACTTTCAAGGCAATACAAAAAGCCCAAGGGTTAGAAAACTGGTCTTCATGTTCTGGCAGGATGTTGTTGTTACAGGGGTAACAACATAAGCAAGAAACTTGCTTGAGTTTGTCACAAAAATTGGAAAAGATGAGAAAATGGAAGTGAAACGTTTTGGAAAGGCTGCCCATCAGGTTGCAAGCACCTCAATCCCAAATGGCGTGTATGAGCTGCAGTTTGGCATTTCCAGGTGACCTTTAGTAGAATCATTACAATAACTTTCTGAAAAGGGTTTGGGTGACTTTTCAAGCCTCTCTGTCAAATAAAGACTTGTTTGACTAGGATGTATTTTGAAAGGAGAAATCCTCCTAGAGTATTCTAAAACTTGAAGGTTTCAGTCTTTTTTTTAAAGCACTTGGTACAATTGAGAAAGTTCAAACATTAGTTCAGAATCTTAAGTTTTCAAGAAGTGGGTGCTGAATAATTTTAAAAATGAATTAAAACAAGCCCGATATATACCTGCAAAGGCTAACATAAAATCATAAAAAGCAAAATCAAGTATATTGCTATAACAATGTCCAGATGTATCAGCGCCACACTTTTGTATGTATATTTATTTATTTATTTATTTATTTGACTTTTATATTGCCCATCTGGCTGCCAAGGCCACTCTGGGTGTTTTACAACATTAAACAAACATAACAACGTGAACAACAATTTAAAACAGCAAACTTAACAATTATAAAATCAAAATTAAACACATATACAACAACAATATGACAATTGACCCATATCTAAAAGCTGCAGAACCTTGAATTTGGCAAGTAATGTCATACCCAATATTCCTGGTTCAAGATTCTACAGCTTTTAGATATGGGTCAATTGTCATATTGTCAGTGTATATGTGTTTAATTTTGATTTCATAATTGTTACGTTCGCTGTGATAAATCAAACGTGTCTGTTGTGAACAAAATTTGGTAACAACAGTTTCCTTGCCCCTCTCACTTTTGAAAGAGATAATTTGAAAACATCAAAAATGTTGATAACTTCTGATTGAAATTTGCCTTTTTCCTTATAAACATACTTTATTTTGGTTTTAAAAACCCCTCAGATCCACAGGATGATTCTGACTTTTCAAGGTTCACCAACAATTTCTTCATTGTCTTTATTATGAAAGATGTGAAGAACACATAGCAAAATAGTATTTTCTTTAATTCCCATTACATTGCACTAATAGAGCAAAAAGTATACCTTCGCTGGTGTGTATCCATGTGCTGGTGATGACTATTTGCCCCCTCCACTCAGACAGAGACGGGCAGGCAGGGACACCCACTGGTGTCTTCCTCACTGCTGAACTGGGGGCGGGACTAGTTGAGCCACGTTATCAGCCAGCGCTCTTCCAACCAAAGCAACCCACCTGCTTGCCTTGGGTCCAGTATGGTTTATATGATCACTTCAAGGCCAGATAGGAATTATTGGCTTGCCTTACTTGATTAGCATTTGAAAGGTAGGTGGGTGGGGTTTTGCCTATCCCATACTGATTACCCTTGGGATGTTATGCACAGATTGGGTAGTGGCACCATTTTAAAATAGGTCATATGGTAGTAATGGGGAATGGAAAATCAGTTTCAATGAGTTCCCAGTAGACATTCACGATGCTATTGTACCCAGTGTTGTGGGAACTAGGATCCAGAATTTCACTTGCAATGATGAGAGGAGCTTGTGGGCCAGACCTGGCTGCTGGCAGCCCAAATTCAGGAGGATTGGATGTTTACTGTCTGGGGAGAGACTCCCAGTTCTTGCAAGCCAGGTACAAGTTGTCCATGGACTACTTGGACCGACCTGGGGATTGGGACTCACCCATTAGGGATCCGGGAAGGGGTTAAGAGATACACCTGGAGCCTGCCTCCAGGAAACCACACTACATTCAGGCCCTTTCTGCATGCTGAAAGTGAAAATGTATAATTCAATAAATGTGGCCCTAGCTAACCCGAACATCTGTGTCTGTCTCTTTATTCTGGGAGTGGGAAGGTAAAGTGAGAAAAGGAAACATTATAATAATAAAGAATTCTAAATGCCATTAATGAGGCTAATTACTTTTCCCGCTGACTTACAAATCAATAATTTTTTTTTCAACTGATGTCAATCCCCTGTAATATTGCCCTTTGTGGGTGGTTTTTTCTTGCTTCTTGAATGTTTTTAGAGAAAGAACTGAGGGTGTATTTTAATTAAACCACTCCTGATGGCATTGCTTAAGAGTAGCAAGGTTTAGTATGACTGTGATCATTACTTACCTTTGGCAAAGCGTATTTTGGAAGCTTCATCTGTGCAAATGCATTTCTCCGATATGACACGTAGTAATGAGGCCGCCCTCCTGATGTCAGCTGCAACATATAACATTGTTTCTTTTATTATCAAGGTTATCATTATCTCCATTTCATTTTTTTAAGGCCTAGAGAAAATAACAGGCATGCTGGAAAGGGGAAGGTGTCAGTGACAGCTCTAAAACAGTAGTGCAGTTACAGCAGGAGACAAAATACCCATCATTCAAGTTGTCAGCAATGGAAACTGACAATGTTAAGAGCATAAGCTATTTGGATTGTTTGTACAGAAAGACAAAAAGGGCACATGGGAAAACCTGCAAATATTAGTGCCTAGATGTTGCCTCTTGAATCTTTAGTTGAGCATGCAGCAATTGCAATAGTCAAGTCAATGGTGGTTTTTATATCTATAAGTGCGTTCTGTATCTATCAAGACTTGAGAGAGTATAATGACGAGGGCTTTCATCTTCTTCTGAACATTGGGAAAACATTTTCTCTTGAATTCATGACCCTGCAGTGATGACCAAAACTATCTGGTCTATCCAAGAGGTCAAGGTTGACTCAAGGTTGACTCAGCCTTCTATCCTTCCGAGGTTGGTAAAATGAGTACCCAGCTCTCTGGGGGGGGATGTGTAGGCTGCATAATTAACTTGTAAACCGCCCAGAGAGTGCTTGGAGCGCTATGGGGCAGTATATAAGCAGCACGCTTTGCTTTGCTTTAGGGTTTTTTTTTTCAAATACTCCATTCATCTAATATGGATAGTCATATGTGTCAGGAATATCAATATTCAATATTGATAGCAGGAGGCAAATGTGAAAAGAAATTTAATTTAATTAATTTATTTATTTAAAATATTTTCATCCCACCTTTCTCCTTAAAAAGAACCCAAAGCAGTTTACATTATTAAAATACCATATGTAGAAGCTAAAAACTGTAGGTTTACAAATGTTCAAAAAGAATTAAATAAGTACTACATTAAAAACACTAATAAAATCAATCCTAAAACACATTTAAAACAACAGAGTACAACCATTCATTTAAAAACCCATCTCGGACCACCAATTATTAAGGGAAAGCTTGTCTGAATAGAAAGACCTTTGCCTGCTTGTGTAAGGTTAGCAATGATGGGGCCAGCCTAGCTTTCTGTGGGAGGGAGTTCCAGAGTCTGGGAGCAGAATCTGTGTCCTCACCAAGAGCACCTGTGAAGGTGGCAGGACTGAGGGAAAGGCCTCCTCTGATGATCTTAAAGCCCAGACAGGCTCATAGAGGGAGACAAGGTCTTTTAGATAGCTTGGGCCCAAGCCATTTAGGGCTTTATACGTTGGGACCAGCACTTTGAATTGTGCTCAGAAATGGATTGGCAGCCTCTTACAGTTCAGACCAAGGTATACATTCCAATTGTTTGTCTAAATGAAAATGTTAGTTCTTTACATGAGAAACCAACTACATAGAAACAGAGCATTCAATCCATTATCCCAAAGAGTAAAAGAAAATGTGAACTTTACAACAGCTTGTATAGAGCAACAAGGCAAACAGCAAATGCCTGTTCTGTTATCTGAGCTATAAGAATTATTGCCATGCTAAACAATATCAGTGTTTTAAAGTGAGTTATTTGATAGCTGGTATTTGTTAAGAAGACCAACCTCAACACACCTCTCTTTCCTTAGGAAAGAATGTTCAAACTGATAACACAAAATATGGCCTTAGAACTGCACAGGCCTTCACTGAGGCCAACATGTAAGTCTAATTTGCATTTATAGACTCAACTATGCAACACAGGTTAAACTTTCATTGGTGTGCATAACATGATGGGTAATTCACTCAAAATTGCTTTGAGGAAAGAGCAAAGAAATGAGGAGACTTCTTTGCACCCCTGTTCCAAATGTGCTTTCCTTACAGGGCTATTACTGCCACTTTTCTCTGGGGAAAGTGTTCCAGGTAAAAGTAGCTGGCAAGTAAAGACTGCCTGAAGTCTCCACTGGATTGTTCCTTCCCGTCCTCGCAGGGCTTTCTAACATTAATTGTCCTGAAGGATCGGTTTCTGTGAGTTTTTAGCACTGTTCATCATTCATTTTATTAATGTATTTTTATCCATCTTGTCAACTGCTCTGGTAGGATTTTCACCCAGAAAGATTGGAAATAAATAAATGATAGTGATGCCCAAAATGTGGTTGCTTAGTGTAGTAAATAACATTAGTGTAGGCCCATTGAATCAATGGGGATTTGGTGAATCAACTCTTTCATAAGTTCCATTGATTCCTTGATTCTGACTTACTACAACTAAAGTAATTTGCATTAGAGTAGGCCCATTTGAATTAATAGAATTTATGGGATTTGAAGAGACACTTGTTGAGCAGGCCGAGGCAAAGAGGCAGTCCCAAAACCAGCAAAATCAGGGAGCTGGACAGCGGACAGACTGTATTTGTCTTCAATGTGGAAGGGATTGTCACTCTTGAATTGGCCTTCTCAGCCACACTAGATACTGTTCCAAGTCCTCTATTCAGAACATGTTACCATAGTCTCTTGAGACTGAAGGATGCCTAATCTATGGAGGAGATGACTCACCACGTCCCCACTGACTCCATGGACCTACTGTGGTGTAATTTTCTATCAGGAGTTTGGTCACTAATTAATAAAAATAATTTTACAGTGCTGTCTATTTAATGAGTTTTGTGCAGAGCACGATCTTTTCCTTCAGTTAATATTTTGGACCAGGATCTAACTAATCATGGAAGGTGGTCACGGTATGTGGTCTGGAAATTTTCAAAATTAGAGATTTGGGCGGGAAGGATTTTGGAAGGAAGTAGGGAAAGGAAGTAAAAGAAAATATTTTGTCAAAGGTGTAACTTGGAGAAAACATTCATCTCTTCCTACAGTAGATTAGCTGACATGACATTGAGCACCCAGTTACAACTGTCGGAGTAAGTAGCCCTACGGATTCTAGCTGAGGAAATCAATGAATATTCATTGATTTCTTCTTCATTTATTTTCTTTTAATAGGACACATGAATATAGCCCCTGAAAAACAGAATTTAGCATATCCTTTGTGGAATTAAAATGCAATGTCATATGAATATAGGAAACTTCCTTAATAGCAGATCAGACCATTAGTCCACTTAGGTCAGTTGTATGTATTCTTGATGGTATTCAGTGTTACAGATTGTGACTTTCCCCAGGTTTATCTGGAAATATCAAGAGATAAAACCTGGGACATTTGGAAACTGTGTGCTCTGCCACAAGGTAATTATTTTGTCTATGGTTTCCAACATCCAAGAAGTTTGGTTGAAGTTCTGCTTGGTGGGCAGGTGTTATTGGGTGGTGTGGTGATTAGCTAATTTCTTTTTTTCCCCATCAAGCTCCAGAGGAAACACGATTTGGGAATATAGCCAAGACAGACAGCCTAACCTCAGCGCAGGACCACACCAAGGTCAGTCTGGAATGCATGCACTGAATGAAGCCAGGGAGGCCTTAGAGCCTCATGAACTAGTTCAAAGCCAGGTAATTTACAGCTCGTCTCCACTTCACATGCACTGAATGAAGCCAGGGAGGCCTTGTGAAATAGTTCAAAGCCAGGTAATTTACAGCTCGTCTCCACTTCACATGCACTTTATTTCCTTCTTTGTTATGAGATGGACAGCAGCAGGAAGATAATGAAACCTGAAATGGCTCAGATATATTCTCTGGCTTTCACCTGGAACACAGCTGAATATATCTCATCTCCATCCTTTTCTCAATAATCATAGCCCATGCATGACAATCATGCCTGATTACTCTTCTCAAGCGCTCCATTTCCATCTCTCTCCTGTACCGCTGTCTCCCCCTTTATTTCAAACTAATACAAAAAAAACTTGATTGGTCTGTTGAGGCTGTGATATCAGAACCTGGCATACAAACTTAAAAAGCTGGTGAGATGGGAGAATACTCTCAGAATGTAAGATGAGCTTGGCTGATTGGCAAAGGAGGTTATTTCTGTACACCTTGTGCACACTCCAGGCAAAGCTCCCCCTCCTCCAACATGACCCCTGTGTTGATAAGGTACTTGAGGCAGAGGCAGAAGGAAACAATTAGCATCCCCCGATGGGAATGATGCTTGGTTTTGAAGCACTGAAATGTAGCACTCACTTACTCACTTCAACCGTTTTGTTGCCGATGTGGGGGAAGGGAGATTAAAATTCAGCAAAAAGAGGACAAATGATTTGCAATCAATCAGTGAGAAAGCTTTTTCAGACCTGAACAAACACATAATCATCCTGGACAATGAGGGAGTCGGAGTCAATGTATCCTGGAAAAGGTTTGCTTCTTATGGCTTCAGAACAGTTCTGCATCCTGCAAGTGATGTACTGTGCATCTGAAATCACACACACACAAAGAAAACCATCTTTATAATCTGAGATGTACATTTATCTCAGATATGCTTTGCATCCTTCAATAAAAATCATGACCAATATAGCTTGACCGATATAGATTCGAAAAGGTAAGGGACTAATCCCCTTCCTTGTCACTTTTAGCCTACTTCTAACCTCTGGCACTAAAGAAACTCTACTCTTGGGTAAAGATTGGAGGTATGGGAAACAAGAGAGGAAAGGACTTTTGCCTACCATTAGGTAGGATAGAAGTCCATTTGTTTGTCTTTGGATGTAGGCCACAGACCTTATGTGTTATTATCTTATGTTTCCTTTTCCCTCCTTCAACCATTTTGGTAAGGGTTAGAAATTTCTTTTTAACAATTAAAGGACAAAGGCAAGTGCTGAATCAGTGGGAGCCGTCACTGGCTGGCTTAGGCCTAACGTTCTTCTCCTCTGCTGTAAGATAAAAAAAGAGCTACATGCATGGGTGGTTTTGAAGGTGGCCATGTGTTCTTCCTGTGCACATCCAGACCCTAAGTTCTTCAAGGCCATAAAACTCCCTTGCCTTAAAGTAGTCCCTTGACTTTTCTCACGATGATATGAAAGCAGATAAAGCAACTAGCACTTCTATGGAAATAATTAGCACAATCATTTCCAGTGGCAATAGTCAGGAAGGCAAATACCTTTTTACCCAAAACCACAGTTACATACACAGTGGTGCCCCGCTTGATGCTTACCCCGCATGACGTCAAAATCGCTTAATGATTACTTTTTGCGATTGCTATTGCGATCGCAAAATGATGGTTCCAATGGGGTTTTTTTCACTTGACGTCTATTAGGAGCCTGTTTCGCGAACCATTTGTTCGCTAAATGACAATTTTTCCGGTTCCGCAAAATGGCTTCTCTTCGTAAAATGGCTTCCCTCCCTTCTCAAAATGGCTGCTTTCTGGACCCCTGCTTTGGAAGACAGCATTTTTAACAGCTGATCGACAGTTCTCTATGGGCAATCTTCACTGGACAATGAGGTATTTCCCCACTGGAACACACTGAGCGGTTTTCAGTACATTCCAATGGTTTTTCTTTTTTCGCTTGATGACGATTTTGCTTAACAGCGATTTTCCTGGAACGGATTATCGTTGTCAAGTGGGGCACCACTGTATATAGATCAAACATCACTGACAATTCCTGCAGGTTGTGTTCTGATGACAGTGAATATGTTTGCTGGAAGGAAAGAGCAGGCTAAGGGAATGTAAATGGAAACAGAGATTAGGTTTTAAATATTGGCCCAAATCCTACTCATTATGCTTGTTAAGGTAACACTATCAGGGTAACTTTCAGTGGTGAGAGACCATCAGTAAAGAGTTCGGTATAGGCATTTCCAAATGCACACCAGCCTCTTAACTCAGTGTGCCTATGCTGACTTTTTAACTCATGGCAATTCACCACTGAAAGCTTTGTCAATGGTTTCACGTTGAGCAGAGCTCAGAAGTAATAAGTAATAAGTTGCAAGTAACAAAGTTACCTGAACAAGGCATCTTGTAATGGGCAATGTAAATAATTATCACAAAGTTACTTTTAAAGTGTCATATGTAACAGCAACTTAGGTGTAATGAGTAATGTTTTTCACAGTAATATGTAAGTAATTACACTTAGGTGCTATGATTAATATTGTTGCCTGCATTTTTGAGGAATTTAACAGGTTTTATGCCATTTTCTAATTAATTATACACAGAAAGGAAGTACTGTTTTTTTTTCTTTAAAATTTTTAATAGGTCTAATATCAGATTTCTCCACTAGAGAGTGCCGTAATGTTTTTCACAGTAATATGTAAGTAACTACACTTAGGTGCTATGATTAATATTGTCGCCTGCATTTTTGAGGATTTTAATTTAGGTTTTATGCCATTTTCTAATTAATTTTACACAGAAAGGAAGAACTGTTTGTTTTTTTCTTTTAAATTTTTAATAGGTGTAATATCAGATTTCTCCACTAGATTATTTTGCTGTTTTGTTCCCCTCCATGGGTAATGACAACAGAAGGTGTTAATAAAGCACAGTGCAACAAATTATTTGTGTAGTGGCTGTAACAATAGCAACCTAGCTGACAGTAAACAACAAGTTCATTTCAATGTGCTGCTTATTAGTGACTCTGCCATGTACTAATGACAACAGAAGGTGTTAATAAAGCACAGTGCAACAAACTATTTGTGTAGCTGTAACAATAGCAACCTAGCTGCCGGTAAACAACAAGTTCATTTCAATGTGCTACTTATTAGTGACTCTGCCATGTAAATGCTTGCCTGTGCTCTGAGACAATGATTGTGATGTGGCAATCTTGAGGCTAAACCGGAGACCACTGCAGAACTGGTTGCAGGTAGAGATGGACATAAACTGGTGGTTCGGTGGTTCATGCCAGTTTGTTTTTTGGCCTCACAAGTGTTTGGTGCTTTCCATCCTTTCCTCCTTTGGTGGGTGCCCAATCAGAGGCAGCACCCAGACAAGGCAAGCTGGGGCGTTGCCTCTCAGTGGGTGCCTGCTGGAGGAGCAGGAGCTGGGAAGCACCGAGCACCTGCTTGTCTGAAAGACAAACCAGCACAAACTGCTGAGCCAGGGGTTCACACTAGAGATAGGGATGAATATAAAAATGGATCAGTTTTTCTGACGAATATAGCCAATTCATCATATATTTGTCATTTCATATTTATAAAATTTTAAATCAGGTCGAATATGGCTTGACGAATATTTTCTCGATTTTATTTATCGATCCGTTCATATTCGTCTATATTCCTTACCCCTTTTGGGGGCCTCTCTGAGCTTGCTGGTGCCAATTCGAAGCTCTGGCCAATCAGGACAGAGATCCTGGATTGGCATGTCTGGCAGCCAATAGTGCTGATGAAAGGTGTATGTACGTTTACAGATGCTTCATATAAGCTTTTCCCGTCTGGCTGTTCCCCACTTCTGTTCCTGCTCTCCAGAGTGAGAACAGTTGCTGCTCACTGGCTTGCTGGTGCTCTTGTGGTTTAGCTTTTGTGGCAGCAAAGCAAAGACTTATATTTTTCTTTTTGAGCATCATTCATCAATCATCATCAACTTTACTGGGAATTTGGGGAGGGATTTCAGGTAGCTTAGGCTACTTCTTTAGAAGGGCTTAATTTTATTTCAAATTCAAATCAATCAAACCTTTTTCCCCCCTGGAGGCTTGTTTGTGTGTACAGTATCATCCGGTGGTGGTGGTGGAGGAACTGTTCATCATGTGACCGTGGGATCTCTTTTCCTTTATATTCAGTTTTTAAAAGTTTATTTTAGGGGAATTATTTTTTTCCTTTCCCCAAATTGGTTGGGGCTTTGTTTAGGCAGGCAGGTCACCTTTTAGTAAAAGAATTACACCACCATCATTCTAAAAATAAAATTTACACACACTCTCTGACCCTCTATTAGTTTCCTTCCTCAATCTCCATTGCTTTATTTGTTTAGTTGGTTTGTTAGGCAGGCAGTAGAAAGTGAAGGGATTTCTTCAGGGGCAATCCAAGGGGGAGAAGGCTGTGCAGCTACGCAGGCTAGGTAGCAACACCATCATCACAACCACCACGTGCACAACCACGTCTACAATAACCAGTGCCACTGTCCCTCCTCCGATGGCCTTGCAGGCAGGCAAGGAAGCAAAGATTCCAGAGGTGCGAACAGAACTGCTGCTCCTTTTCCTAGAGGAGTCTGAGGAGTTACTGGTTGTTTCTGAAGATCCCCAGGCTGATCCGGAACCAGTAATGGCAGGGCAGGCTTCACAGCGCCTCCTCACCCGTCCCCAGAGTCATCTGTTCCCTCCTCCCAGGCCAGCAGCACCCCTGGGACACAGAGTTCTTCCCAGGCCAGCAGTCAGGGGCAGACAGTGGGTCCTCCTTTGGGCAAACATGGCAGAGGGGCCATGTGGGATTATTTCATGGCGCTCAGCAATGACCCATGGCTGGCATGCTGCAATGCCTGCCTTGTGGTGGTCCGGAGGGGGGCACACCCCAGGCATCTGTCCTCCACCATCCTCCACCAACATCTGTAGAGGCACCGCCCAAGGCTCGTCTGGGAGAGGGAAAAGAGCAGCTCCAGGGGAGGCAGGAGGGAGGCAGGAGGAGGCACCCACAGGGGTTTCTGGGGCCAGGAGCATGAAGCAGGCCACTAGTCTTGTCGCTGAGATGATTGCTCTGCCCGGACTTCCACTGTCCATTGTGGAATCCCAAGCCTTCCACTGGTTGCTGCATTTTTTTGCCACCTGGTACAACCTCCCCTCACAGAGAACTCTCAGCTGTAGAGTGCTGCCCTTGCTGTATGACTTTGTGAGGGAGGTGGTCCAAGACCATTTTTCACTGCTACAGAGGAGCAAGGTGCACTTCACAGCAGACCTGTGGAGTGGAGGTTAGCACGGCTACCTCTCGCCCACAGCCCACTGGTGGCAG